CCACGTTCTGATTCTCGATTTTGTGCTTCTGCTCTTTACAAAAGACAGAGTTGAGTGATGCATAATTACACTGGTTGTTTCATGTATTAAATAAATAGGTTGTGTTTATATTTGTCTTTTCAACTCTTTTAATATTTGGACTCTGTGAATTAAAAATTTTAACACAATATCATTTATATACGATATAGACTCGATATTATAATTTATTGAATGAAAAATCTTAAGAATATTTTATACATGGAGCTTGAAACCATTTAAAATATGGACCCCCTCGACCAACGATGAGATGTTGTTTTGTTGTGGTGATAATGTCGTCATTCTAAATTGAGAAGATGATCATGCTGTCAATTTGTTGAAAAAATGAGGACAAGTTCATTGATGTGAAATAACAAAAAAGGTGTTTGTTTTACATCATATTTTTCTAGTTCCCACGTGCCTTAGTTTCTAGATGGATCTAGGGGTGTTTATGGGCCCATTTGTCCCCGCTCCTTTTACTCGACTTGAAAAAAAATATGTTCAGAACTCGACAGTTAATCTGCTCGAATTTAAATTGAATATTTTTTAAGAGAGGGTTTAGGCTACCCCAAATCCATTACTTGGCCTGAAACTTGGTCCAATAACCTGCTTGCAAAAAAACCCATTAAACCTGCCCGCCTGCCCAGTCAAGCTTGAATCGTTGTCCGCCCACCTTCTTTTGAAAAAATGTTAGATACATTAAATTATTCATAAATAAAATTATAAATTATAAATCTAATTATTCATAATTTATTTTTTGTCCGTGTTGACTCTACTTTTAATTCAAAAATTTAATTTTTAAAAATATTAAGTTGTAAAAATATTCATTATTTCTCAATGAAGTGGTATATAAAAAATCCGTCCGGTAAACCTGTCTGTAGGTCCTCCCAACAAACTCATAGGCTTGTCCAATGAGTGGCGGATTGGACTGCGGATAGCCTACCCTTAGTTGACATCTGGCCCAGCATGCCCGATAACTCACCTGATTAAGGGTTTGAACCTACCCTATCTAGATCCAACCAAAAAAAAAAATTGTGGGTCGGGCCAGATCTACATGTAGATTCGCCAACACGGATAAGACTAGAATACCGAAAAATTATTTTTCTAATTTTGTATCAAATGATATAATTCAATAGAGTGAGACCATAACTTAATTTAATAGGATCACAATAAGCCAGGGTCATTCAGTTCAATCCTAATATTTACCATCAATTCAAATATTTTGATAGTAAGTCCCTTTTTTGGGGTTATAATTTGTTCCAAATTAAATTATCACTTATTTTAATTTTATAATAATTTTTTTGTACGATATTGATTTCAATATCATTAATCTTCCTTTGAGAAATAGGAGAAACTTCTAGGCAAAAGGAGAATTAATTAAATACAATGCTTGGTACGTAGAATTGATAAAAAAATTAAAAAAAAAAGAAAGGGAAGGGAAGGGACAATAATTTCTTCTTCGTTTTTTTGTTTGGAGGAAATTTTGTTATTTGTTTTAGTTAACATCTCAAAATGGCTGCGCTCTTGAAAAGAAAAACTAATGAAAAAACATTTATAACGGATGATAATGGCATGACCAGTCCATTTATCAAAATTTGGAGTAAATACCCTATTGAATATCATTGTACCAATCGTCTTCTCTAAACAATAAAAATCAGTGAGCAAGAGATTTCATTTATGGTTACGGTATCGACCATCAATTCAGAGAATTATGAGGTATATCGGTCGCGACGTCGCGGTGCGGTTTCGGGCTATACGATTTAGAAGAAAATGTTGAATATGATGAGAAATTCAAGGCATATTGTAGTTTCATGGAACCGTATCAGTCAATTCGGTGACGATATTTCGACGATTCGGGATTGATTTGGATACAACTCGGACAACTCAAATGAATTGTGCATGACTCGGAGTTTATAAGTATTGTATAATAGTATCATCTCCGACGGTATTAAGACGAATAGGACTCGACCGATTCATATCGATATCACCTAATACTTTAAACTATGATTCGATTAGAGTGAACTAACAAAATTTTTCCGATTCCTCTACGACCACTAAACAAATAGAGAGGAGTTATTACCCTCCACACCTGCTAGCACAACCACTCACTCACTCACACACATACATCCAATTACCTTCCGATCCCTCTACAACCACTTTATATACCCATACCTTTATTTTACTCTATTAGTGTTTACTTAGGTACCATCTACTAATAATTTATATTTTTTATTTTTTTCAAATATCATTTGTTTTACATTTTCAATCTTTTATTTTTTTTTTCTCATACAATTTTGTTTTCTTCCTCCAAATTTAATTGCATTTATAAAAATACCCAAATGCATATACTAAGCTGCAGAAAGTTCATTTGCAATAAAAAGTTAATTAAACATGATTTTACTTCTTAAAAAATATGTTCCACTTAAACAAAATTACTTGAAAAAACGTGACCAAACATTATATTAGTAAATATTCAGGGGCTCTTCCTACACTATCTTGGCCTAAAGTATGGCTACTATAACCTGTGTGGTTCGAGAAATTCACCATTGGTCATTGAAGCCAACAATTGCCATATACAGAAATCAAATCGAAAGGAGGATTAGTCGAAGTATGCGTAAATTGGTCTGGACATTTCTGATCGTTGAACAAATAAAAAGAAAAGCCAACAATCATTATATACAATTTTTATTATTTTTTGGTTAATTAAAATTTTGACTATCAAGTCACAAATAGACAACAAAATGGATTAGGTGTAGGTTATAATTGGATAATTGGCTCTGCATCAAATCCATCTAAAGTTAAAATAAGATGATGGGTCTTGCTTTGATTCATGCCACAAACTTACCATCCTCTAATAAAAATCCATGGCAAGGTGTATTATTGCATTGACTATGATGCATTTGGAGTACATTTTATCAAGTTTAGAGTCAAAAAGTAAAATGATAAATATTTGTACTACTATGAATTAATCTTGACAAAAATAAAAATAAATATAAAATAAAAACTACTTAAAAAAATTATTAAAAAAATAAACAAGGGTAGCAAATGACACTTTTCCCGATGAATACAAAAACTTTTAACTTCCCTCTTCCCCCATTCATGAAAGAATAAAAGTCTCACATTACATTTTAAATTTGTCGAAATGATAGTAGTGTATTCCAATTGGTCAATGACATCAATTTCTTTGACAATTAATATCACGGGGTCATAGCCATTTTTCCTACACATCAAATGACATTTTCGAAAATCTAGAATTAAGTGACAGGTGAGTCTTAGAAAGATTTCAATTGCGAGAAATGGTCTTGCTGCTTTGACTTTAAATGCTTGCATGTTACATGTCATACATATAAATGGTTTGAGACTAGTCTTAAAGAATTAAGGGAAAATTTTAAAAACTTTCAAGCATCAAAGTTATTTATGATATTCTTATAGACTAAAAATAAAAAACACCATTTAATTTTTGAGGCAAATTGCGATTTTCTGAGAAATTTGGAATGCAATAAGAGACATTTAACCTTTGAAGGGTTAAGTTAAAAAATTCAAAATCTTTCGAGAAATAAAATATCACCATTTTTTTTCAAACGGTACCTCGTTGCTAAGAAATTGGAGAAAAAATGGACTTAGAAACTCAAAATTTAAGAATGAGATAAAAATCAGTTGTCCATCTTGCACTTTCCCTCAAAAGACCTCAAACAACACCTTCATATGTAACAATACACTAAATAAAATTATACTCAACTCCATAAAATATTTTTTAAGAAATATTTCAAAAAAATTAACCCTATATAAAAGAAACCTAATAAACATCTTTCTAGTGGTAAGAAAAAAAAATTAATAAAAAAAAATCCTAAAAGAGAGAATCGAAACGGGTTAAGAATTGTCAAAGATGATTGTTGATCCGCGATATTCCGAATAATCTTCAACTTTTATATTTTTAAAGAGTTAATAATAAATTAACAGAATGGAAATTTTCTTGGGCTAATCCTTGTTATCCATGTTTTTCATAGTTTTTAAAGAGTGAATAAATTTGCAGAACCCAAATATTATTGGGGCTAATCACTCTTATCCATGTTCCACAATTGTAACCCCTGATAAAGCTTCGTGTACACCAGCAACCAAACACCCAGCATATATAACACTCCGAATCTCACCAGAATTATACGACCAATGAAATTGACATAAAAGGGAGAATCACACTTTATACCCTAAAAGATTTAAAGATTTTTATTTTATATTCTTACATATTAAATTTTTTATATTATACCCTCAATTTATTAAAAAGATTGTAATCTAACATTTTCATCTATAATAATAAAATAAAACCTCCTGCTTGACTTGTTTACGCTTTTCACTTAAAAAAGCACAACAATGACTCAAATTATTTAGATTCAATGATAAACCAGGGTCTCTTACTTAAGCTCATCACTTAGAAAATTATAACAACAGCCTAAATCATTTAAATTCGATGGTTTATATTATATTTTAATTTTTAATCACAGTAACTCATTTTAATTTTAATTTTTAATCACAGTAATTAATTTAAATTTAAAATTTTAACTTTTTAACTACAGTAACTCATTTTAATTTTAATTTTTTAATCATAGTAATTCAACCTATATTTTATCCTTTTAACTACGTAACTCATTTAAATTTTAATTTTTTATCATAATAATTCAATCTATATATTAAAAAAACGTATTTTACACGAGTCACACTAGTTATTTTTATTGTTTATTTCATTAAAAATCACTCTATCGACCTTGATAGAATGAGTAACAAAAGATAATAGAATGACCGCATCCTCGTTACAATAATTTTAATACATTAAGAGTTTAATATGGAAAATACAATCTTTAAGAGTATAAAATTTTAATTCTTAAATCTTTGGGGATACAAAGTGCAATTCTCTAGCAATAAAACCCCAGAACGTAGAAGATCAGTCGACCAGATCATCTCTCTCTCTCCCTCTCCCTCTCCCTCTCCAGTCCAGGTCACGAAATCTACCCTTCAAAGAGCGATGGCCGCCACAATATTGACCAGTTTCAGATACTCCGACAGCCTCACGGTGGTCGGAATCTCAGTCTGCACCGCCATAGTTTGCGAAGCCATATCATGGGTACTGATCTACCGAACTACTTCTTACAAATCCCTCAAATCCACCATCGACAAAGCTTCCAAAAAGCTCGAGACCATGAAAACCGAACCCACCAGCAAAACCTCCTCCAAAAAGAAGAAAATCGATCGCGTCGAGACCTCTTTGAAAGAGTCCAGCCGCGATTTGTCGATGTTTAAGTTCAAATCTGGGGCCGTGGTGGCTTTGGTTTTGTTTATCGTTTTTGGGTTTCTGAACAATTTATTTGAAGGTAAGGCTGTGGCGAAGTTGCCGTTTGTGCCCTTGAGGATTGTTCAGAAGATGAGTCATCGTGGGTTGCAGGGCGACGATATGACCGATTGTTCGATGGCGTTTTTGTATTTTCTTTGCTCGATTAGTATTCGAACAAATTTGCAGAAGTTCTTGGGGTTCTCGCCGCCTCGTGGGGCAGCCGGAGCTGGGCTCTTTCCGATGCCGGATCCGAAGACAAATTGAGCATTTGGAAGGCCAGTTGACTGATGCAGAAGGAGTTGGTCGATTTTGGTATTGATTTCAATTGTTGTTATCATCGTTAGTTTTGCTCGAGATTATAGGAAAACTGAATCGTTCCTAAGTTTTTGTTGTTGATTAAATTATGATTGGAGAATTTAAAGTATAATTACGAGTTAATCTGAATTTGAATTTAAATTACGGAAGGATCTTATTATTGACCAACTGAATTTGGGGTAATTGTTGTTTTCGTTAAGATTAATTTTGAATTTTCCTAATAAGAGTTAATTTAAATTTGTATGTAATTCATTGTATGGCCTTTTTATCGTTACTTATTGAATGGTCAGGCTATCAAATTTGAGATTGTACAAGTCTAGCTGCTTCTATATGTAAATTGATTGCTGTGTGACTCTATCTTTGTTGGAATACAATTAATTGTACTTCAGCTCATGGATTGGCCTGATCAATGACTTTAAAGATTATTGGATTAAATTTGACCTTTTTGGTGTGAATTGGACATTCGTTGATGCAATTTTTCTGTATTTTTTTTTGTTAAATTTATGGAATTTGAATTGATTTGTTTGGTTTTTTGTTTGACTTGGGGATGCCAATTACAACAATGTGCTTGATGTCTTCGTTGTTGTTTCAATGGTGTATAATTTTCCAAGTGTTCATGGACGCTTACAATTTTCATTTTTACTGGTTTAATTTTTTTTGTAGACATATATGATGGATTGTCATAAGTTGTAATCCATATGACCTTTGCTGGACCATTATGTTTCTTGAAATAGGAGACAATATAAAATTATGATTCGCTTTCCATAGCTCTTATGATTTGTTTGATTGTTTATGCTTTGTTTGCTTAAAGTTTGCACTATTTCGTCGATATTTGATTCAATCTGTTTGAAAATCTGTTACCCTTGATGTCAGAGTTGGTTTGTAGTTGAGATCCCTCCTCTTTTCCTGTTATATTGGAGTTCATGTTCGGATTTGGATCATTGTCCCGTGCGTAGTGGTAAAAAGAGGTAAGAAAACAGATGAATTTGAAGTCTAGCTGTAGAGATCTTAGAAATGCATATCAAAGTTTTCCTTTGCTGTAGTCTCCGTCCGTTGGTAAAAGTAGTTATGTTGTCCTAGGATTGAATCAAACTTCTAGTTCTTATTCAAACAAGTTTGAAACTCGTCTAAATTGACCTTTCCAGTCATTTGGATTGGAGGATTGTAGGAAAAGGAAAGAAGAGGCATGTAAGGGGAGCATTAACTTGTGTGCATAGAAAAGTGAGGGAGGAAAGGATAGGAAAGGAAAGGAATGGGAGGAATAGGGAGCAAGTGAAACCCTTCATTTCTTTCTGTTAAAAAATAGCAGAATGGATGGGGGAGGAAAAGAGAATTAGTGATTACCCATCTTGCTATTATTTGTGTAGAAAAAGTGATTTCTTATGTTGTCTCTTTGGACAAACACAATATAGCGCTACATTGCCTTCTTTTCCTTTACATTTTCAAAACAACTGTACTTTGTTTTCCTTTTTTTCCCTTGCAACACATTTCGAGAAGGTGAAGGGCTGCCACTAGTTGCAATTGCATGGGTAAAATATGCTTTATATAAGAAAATTTTGCTTCGCATGTTGTTTGTGATGTTCTTGATTCTTTGTGTATTTGTTACTTGTTTTTGGTTTCAAGTTTCAACTACTAATTGCCTAGCAGAGTTTTTTAACTTTGAGCAACAATCATTTCTTACTCAAATGTCATAATGGCATGGATAATATATGCTTTGCACTTGGATTTTGATGATTAACACGTGATTATGGTGTTCCTATAGTCTGTGACATGATGATCTTTGTGTATTTGTCACTTGGTTTAGGTTTCAAGTTTCAACTACTAATTTGACTGGCAGAGTTTTGTAACTTTGAGCAACAATCATTTCTTACTCAAATGTCACAGACTCACAATGACATGGATAATATGTGCTTTGCACTCAGATTTTGATGATTAACACGTGATTATGGTGATCCTATGGTCTGTGATATGATGATCCTTTAATATTTGTTACTAGTTTCTGTCCTTTCCTTCTTTTCCCCTCCTTGTCTATACTTTTGTTACCTTTCTAACCTAATCATCCAAACATATTGTCATTCAAGATATGTTTTTGTTAAATAACTCAGATTTGTACCATGTAGATTTTAATCTTCAAGATCTTTTCATCCTCATCGTCATTGAATGGATCTTATTGTATTTGATTTCTATCCAAATCTTCTATATTTTTGTGAACTCTTCAATGCTGTTTTTGTATACTCTTGAACGCTTTTTTTTTTTTTTTGTGTATCTCACATCGAACTGCTCTTTTGAGTCATTTCCTGAGTGAGATCCTGCTACTGCTTATGGGGTTAAAGTCCAGATTTTGACATTTTTATAGGTTGTGGGAAGTCAAAAAAGATCGCAAGTGGTTAGTGGGTGGTTCTATGTAGAAAAAAATCTGGACAAAGAAGGTTTATTATAGATTTAATCTGATGTGTGATAGCTTCTTCAGCACCAAAACAGGCAATATATTTAAGATTTGAGAGATTGGAAGTTAAAAGAAGAAGAAACAGAGAAGCAGACAGCCTAGGCAGTCAGAAGCAATCAGTGCCGGTAATTTTGGAGCTCAAAGAATTCAGCTCCGGACTGGAAAAAGAGTTGCAAGCAATCTGCGTAGTTGCCAGCCAAGTTGAGAGTGGGGATTGTGGTGGTTGTGGAGGCGGCAAGGTTGCAGAGAAAGGGAATTTGTTTGGAACCTGAATTGCTTGTATTTTAATTTTGATTTGTTAGCACCCATGATTGTGGTTTGAGGGTGGGTTTTAGGAGAGAGGGGTGGGTGGGGTTTGGGGCTGAAATTTACTAAAGGGTTTCTGTCCGGACGGTGACTGATGAGTTGTTTTTGAGAGAGAGAGAGAGAGAGAGAGAGTATAGTACATGGTTATTGGGTTGGGGTTGTTTAATGTCTACACAATGAATGTTTGGCAGCAACTTTGGTATTCTCTGGCATTTATATTTATTTGGTTGGAGAACTTTATATTTTGCTCAGGATGGGAGGTCATGAAAAGTATCAAAATATGACACGACTTATTATCATGTATTATCACGGGACAAATATGATACGAAATCCAATGGTTTGGTCTTCCTTAAGTCATTCATTTAGTAAACGAGTGGATCTGATATGACACGATTAGTAAATAAATTGGGTATGTGTGAAGTCAATTAATAGAAAATATAAAACATAACTCATTTATACATTAATTATATACGATTTATACATTAATTATATATTATTTATACACGATACGAATTCGATATGACACAATTAGTTAAATATGAATTAATAAATGAATTACGTATAAGTGAAATATTTTCTGACACGAATTTACTAAAACTCGACAAGAATTCACTTCACCCCACAAGATTAACAGACCAAGAAGTCATGGAGTAGGAATGCTACCAGATTGCCGAGTATACCGTGTGGAATGTGTATTTCGGACACTTGTCTGCATTAACTGAGAGTTAATGAAACTTGCTGGAAAGTCGTCGTCGTCTTGGTGAATCTAAGACCAGGTATTTGGTGTACTTGTTGTCATGTGATAACGCTACTACGTTACTCTATTGAGTTTTTTTAATGATACCCATATGTTTCAAAATTTTATTTTTCGAACTCATGTAGTTTCAAAATTATTTTTCAAACTTTTGTCGTTCTTGGAAAATGTCATTTCAGTAACACTTTTACATTGAAAAATGTCAGTTCAAAATTTTAAGTGAAGTATTTGAAAGTCAGTGGAGTTCATCTGTGTGATTAGCAGTAAATCGAAATAATATTTTGAGTAAACTACACATTTAACTCTTAAATTATGACTTTTATGTCAATTAAGTTTGTGATTTTATTTTTTTTGTCAATTAAGTCCCTGAACTATTTAATTGTGTCAATCGAATCATTTGTTTGTCTTCGTTAAATTTTCTAAAAGAAAGTGACGAAGTATGTCATTAGTGTGACACAAATGGTTGGAGTAATAAACTACACATGGTACTCAAACTATGCCCCTTGTGTCAATTAAGTCCTTGAATTTTTTTGTGTCAATTGAATCCATGAACTCTCCAATTGTGTCAATTAAGCTCTTTTGTCTTTTTGTGTCATATAGTCAAGTGAGTGATACACTTTAACAGAAACAGATATAAAGACTCAATTGATACAATTAGAGAGTTCAATGACTCAATTGACACAAAAAAAAAAAGTTCAAGGACTTAATTGATGAAAAAATCATAATTGAGGGCTATAAGTTTAATTTACTCCAATATTTTCTAAAAGTAATTGAGTTTAAAAAATAAGATTAAAACGAGGGAGGTTTGAATAATAATATTTCAAAACACATGTGAATGGTGAAAAAAATTCTTGCATTATTGAGTTCCCTCGAGCATTGTTATTAGTTTTAGCTTTTGGTTAGGGTGACTAGTGTTTTATATCAGTGGTTAACAAAACAAATTATATTAAAAACATTTTTTTTTCGGGTATGCCGGTAAGATTGAATGTATATTTGATTTATTTAGATCCTACAATGATGGAATGAAAATCTTGTACACTAGACTCTCGAGTTAAAGAGCAAGGAGTATTGCTCTATATATATTTCCTATACTTTGCGGTACATCACTATAATGATCACTCAACTGTTACACTTAAAAGTTAATTTTGATGCCGCTGTTTTTTTAGAGCAAAATGTCTTAGGAGTGGGAGTTGTCACCGGGGTGATTTTGTTAGGGCCTTGTCCAGAAGATTTGTCATGAGAAGTGATATCCGTAGAGCAGAAACTATAGCTGCAAAAGTTGCGGTCCGATTTGCAAGGCAGCAAGGTTTAGTACGTAGATGTTATACTGGAAGGGGATTCAACAATGGTCATGCAATCTATTAGAAGTGGTGACGGTGAGTTTGATCCTTTAGAAGCCATTTTACAAGACATTAATAGTATAGTGAGAAGCTTTCGCTATTTTGAAGTGTTCGAAGTTCGTTGTAATGGGAATAATGTTGCACATGAGTTAGTTCGTTTTTAAGTACCTTTAAATAGTAGCCCTCTTTGGTTGGAGCAGGCACCCGAATTTGTTATGCCTCTCCTTCTTGCTGATATTTCTCAGTAATAAATTTTTATCGTTGTTTCTCAAAAAAAAAAACAAAAAAAACTGTTACAATTTTCGAATAATGGATCTCATGATAAAGCATCAGTAGAAGGGCGAAGAGAAGTCTAAAACATAGATACAAATGGGGGAATAATTTGGATATGCATTTCTGCTAGATACAAATAGTTGTTAAATAGAGATTATGTATGCATACCCCAAAAAAGGAGAGAGATTACCCATGGCAGTATAGAGGGTCATCATCAAAAGTCAAAACAGATGGAAAGAAGATCCATCTAGATTTGCTTGTAATTAATGGTTGCTCATCCTGATTAAGTCTAACTATGTGCTTAACCAGTACAATTGTCCCAGAACAAAACATACTCGTCATATGTGACAAGAAGACAAGAATATATACTTATTTTTAATAGTATCCGGTGTATTAGTTCTTATATGATCGCACGCTAAAATACATTCATTTATTAATTGAAGCAGATGGTTAATATTATAAGCACCATGGCGTGCTATAAAAATGAGAGAGAGAGAGGGAGAGAACCATGCTTTTCAATGTAAAAAAGAAGCGTGGGTTCAAAATGCACTTACGCTTTTACATTCAAAACGTGAGTATAAACCAGGACAAAATGAAAACATAGAAAAGTAAGTTAGAAACTATTGTCAAGGGGTAATAAAAGTTGTAAATTAAGTAGGATAATTTGGTAAAAAAATTGATTTACATGTATGGTGTGGTGCCAAGAGATTTGTCTACAGTGCCTTACTAATTACTATCATCTTATAGGTACCACAATAAAAAAGACAGTAATATGGTACAAAAAAAAAAAAAAAAAAATTTTGGCAACGTACCGTGTGGCCATCTCCAAGAAAAAATCTTGATTCCGTCCCTAACTACAGCTTGTGTGTGAGCCGTTAAATGGCTGCCCATAACCAAGTGGTTTATGGGTAAGCCGGATTGAATTTAATGTCCAAAAATGATACCAAACATAATCGATTAAAAAAATTCATAGTATAGTGAATAGGTTAAGAATTTGGGCCTTGTATGAATTGTGTATATAACACGTTGATCGTGGTAGCATAACACATATGATTCTTATTTATTACTCTACATGACATAGTCCTTTTGTGTTTGACAATTTTTCTTATATTTTTTTGATCGGGCACTATTATAAGAAAGGGAATGACAAAGTTCGAATCCGCAATCTTAAGATCCAACAAGAGACGGTGATCATTTGGTCAACCACTAAGCTTGTGTTTGACAGTTTTTCAAGAGCAACAATGGAAGAATTTCGAGAAGTCTAGTCTATATTTCCTTTTCTTGGTTTCACTATTCACATGGAAAGATCTAGAAACTATGGAGATCTTCATATTGAACTTCTCTGCTCTACACATGACAAGCCTTTTATTTGAACTGCACTATACTAAACGGATTGTAGGATCGACTCTTCTGTTATTAGTAAGATAGGGCAAGGGAGGAACAAACTAAACCAAAACTCGAAGACACATAATGAAAGAAAATTTGTAATGTGTTGTTGGAAACAGAAACGTTTTCAAGAGATACTAAAAAATAAAAAGAACTCCAAACCAAATGGGGAGAACGAATGGCTCAAGAATCAATTGGTTTTGAGCCGACTCGTGGAGCTATAGTTTGGCTTATGGTAGAATAAGAGGGTCCGTATTAGGAAATTACAACATACTAAAGTGCCAAAAGAGGAAACACATATCGAAAGCTCATGTGAAGTTTTAAGCAATGATCAAAATATCATTTTGAGATAGTCGAAACATTCGAAATATTTTTATTTTCAAGAAAACCGAAACAAATCAATTATTGAATTGAAATTACAATGTTTCGAAGCATTTTAAAATGTGTTTTTGCATTATGTATCAAAGTGTTCCAAAAACGTTTTGATATATTTTGACTAATGTCTTAGAATATTTTGAAAACATATTTTTAAATTTTTTTATCCATTTTTATTTTATTTTCAAAATTTTTTCTTTTTCTTAATAATACACCGAAATAAAATTTTGATATTTAATTTTAAGATGAAATTGAGTTCCAAACATACTGTTCAGGTTTTGAATTCCCCTCATTCCATCGCGAGTAGTCATAGAGTTTAATAGTGCCAATTTTTTTGTCCCCCAACGCGCCTGCTGGTTTTACTTGGGATTTCTGGCCTTTATTTATGCTCCGTTTGTTACGAGAGAAAAATAGAAAGATGAAATGAGAGAAAAATATAAAGATGAAAAATTAAAAGGATGGAAGGTTAAAGAGATAAATAAAATATCATGTTTGGTAAGAAAGAAAAATAGGAATGATGAAAAAGTAAATAGATTAATTTTCCTTCCAACTCACTAAGATCAATCTCTCTAAAATTGGAAGAAAGTGGGTGAAAAATTAATTATTTATATTGAGATGTATTTTATTTGTCTACTAGTTATTGTCTATGCTCGAAAGCACAGAGTAATAAAAAATAATAAACTATTAACATATATGTATTCATATCCAAAATTAAATCACAAACATAGAAGAGAGATACATAAATTTGAGCATCGGTTGTAGTGAGGGTGAGAAATAATGGGTGGCAGTAGTGGTGGTAAGAGATGACAATGGTTATGGTAGGTGACAATGACCGTGGTGGTGGCGGTGGTAGTGGTGGTGGTGGTGGCAAAGATAGTGGCAACGGCAATGGCGGCGACGGCAGCGACGATGATGGTGGTGTTGGTGGCGGCAGCGATTACAACGGTGGTGGCGATGGTGGTAATGGTGGTGGTGGTGGCGACGACAGTAGTAGTGGCGGTGGTGGTTGTGGTAGTGGTAGCGGCGACGACGAGAGTGGCGACGACGGCAACGGGAGTGGCGAAAGTGGTGACGATGGCGACGGTGGGGGTGGCGGCGATGGTGGCGGTGGCGGAGGTGGTGGTAAAGGTAGTGGTAGGGCTGTTTCAAATATTATTTTTTTAAAGTATTTATGAGAAATAATTTTTAAAAATAATTTTAAAAAGTCACTCCAAACACACCATTAGAGATCTATTTTTTCTATTAAATTTAGGATGTTAATATTAGCCGTTAGATTAATTTTAAAATAAAATTTAAAACGATTTAAATCGCGAATAACAAAAGTCATTTTGTTTATCTTTTGAGATTTGAATTGTAAGCTACTTTATTATATAGATATATTATGTATATATTAATTTCATATAAAAATACAATAACAAAATATGTATATATATAAAATAAAAAATTTAAAAATTTAAATTAAAAAAAATATTTTTTTTATCTTAACTAGGGGTGAAAATTTTCGATTCAACACGATGACATGACTCGAACTTGACACACATTTTATGGAACGAACTTGATTATAACTTGACACAAACTTAAAAATGACCTGATACGCGAACAAGAAATATAAAATGCTTATAATTTTATGACTCAATACAAATCTGACACGACACGACTCGGTTGTCACACCTAACATTAGACAAAAAAAAAAATTGGTCATTTTTATTTTTCATCCATCCAACAAACACAAAAAAGGAAAGTGTATCATTCTTACTTTCTATCATTGAAAGATATAAAGTGTATCATTCCTACCAAACGGAGCATTAGAGATAGAGAGAGAACTCAATAACTTCAAAGGATAATTGAAGTGATAATATAGACAAATTATAAATTCAGACGTTTTAATTTGAATTTTGACAATTTTTTAGGATTAAGTCATGATGGATTTATCTCTCGTAAATATCCTAATCCCGACATGGATAATCTATTTTTGATCAAATCAGAGAGAAGACTGAAAAAAAAATTAGTTAAAATGCACGTAAATCGACACCAAGTGATTATACATAAATACACACGTAACTTCCTTCACAACATAAATGGAATACATGTTCTTAAAAGTGACGGAACTAAGACTAGACAAAGGGTGGCCATGGCCCCCTCACCTGTTGAAAAATCCCTATAGTACCTCGATAAGTTTTTTAAAAAATTATATTATCTCCATAGGTTTTAAAATATATCCCATGTAATTTTTTTACAAAATTAGGTTACAAATGTATCTTATATCAAAAGCAAAGTATTGAATCATGATTCATTTTATAATGGTATTCCGAACTCCCAATAAACCATGAAGAGAATTTATATTGTCCATTTTAAATTAAATCTTACAAAAAGAATATTTGAAAGACATAAATGTCATTAAAAAATGCAGAGAAAACTTGCGCAAAACGGATTTCAACAACTCACCTAAATTGTCTGAAACTATAATTTGCATGGATAATCGAATATATTGATTTCATAGAGTGTTGTACTATTTTCTTTAAATGAGGAAAAAAATACTATTTATTATCGTAACACCTGTTACAAAGGGATGTAACAAACTAATTCTCGTAATGGTACAAACCAATTTTCAGGTTGCATGATCAAAAATAACTTTTAAGATCATATTGTACAAAAGTCAATTTTGACAAGTTATGCATATTTAGATGTTGGTACGAATTCTTGCACAACTCAAAGATTCTTGCTGACCTAGGTTAACCCCTTAGGCGACCCCGAAAGGGCTTATATGGCAGGGAGGGGAGACGACTCTCAGTCGATGTGGGACGAAGCTCCGCACGGACACTGAGAGGTAAAGGTTACTGCAAAAAGACACCTTTTGGTTGACAGGATTGCCTCCCTCCGAAAGGATTTCGGCTGACCTAGTGTGTGCCAAAGCGACCATCCAGTAGCCTTTGACTTCCATACCACATCGGGTAGGAGTTGTCTCCCCCTTATCATATAAGTGAACACTTCATATGGAGGAGATACCCACTAACAACCCCTTGGGCGACCCCCAGTAGCCTTAACCTCTCAATACCCATGCAGAGCTTCGTCTCACATCGACTGAGAGTCGTCTCCCCCCTGTCATATAAGCCCTTGGTCTCAATGGAGTGGGTACCTCCTCCATTGAGGCCAAGGGCTTATATGGCAGGGGGGAGACGACTCTCAATCGATGTGGAACAAAGCTCCGCACGAACACTGAGAAATAAAGACTACTGAAGGGTCGCTCAAAGGGTTAACCCAAGTCAACCAAAACCCTTGGGTTATTCAAGAATTTGTACCAACACTAGAAATTTGTCATTAATAATAACTTTTCAAATAAATTCATTTAATAAATTTTTTGTATATGCTATTGTTTGGTCTCCCATGATATAATCTTGATTCCGTCTCTGATTTCTAAGAAGGTTTGCTCCTTCTAGGACTTGTTTCCGTCCTTCAAACGAATAGGTGTAGGACTTGACTTGAGCACACCACCATGCGGTTTCGGGATCAGTATATAGAGATTGTGATAACCCGTATTGTCTTATATTGAATTACATATCAAAAGTTTACACGGAGATCTTGGTTGTATACATGTTAGAACAATGACCCCAAACAACAACACCGTGAGTAGCCCTTAATTTCAATTGAGTTACACAATATTTTTTCTTTGGATTTGTCAAAAAACAATAAAGAATGTTATTGAAACTTAATTTGAGTATCTAATGTATTTTGGTTATAAAATTAACAATATAGGTCTCAACATTGAATAAAATGTACTATCGATCAAATGATATTGATAGTGCAAATTGAGGTGGATGAGCAGAGGATATGGACTATGTTTGGCAACTTGGATCTGAGCTACAAGGCTCATGAGGATGGTGCTTAGATCTTTTAGGTGATTGGGGTGATGTGCACAACAAAAGTTTAGCAGTTCACCAGCTCAGAAGTTCGGCTAGTCTACTCTTCAATGAAAACTCTTGCTCCTTTTTCTTTTATTCTTGTAGGATTTGATTTATAGAGTTTCTCCTATGATATCAGACTTTTTTCCTTTTTTTTTCCTCTCTCTTTCTTAAGGAGGCAATGTATAGTATTTATAGCACGATTTGAATCACTGAGGGATTTTCAGTGAGATCCTTGCTCTTTAACCACAAAACCTTTATTGATTTTAGGAGGAGATCTTGGGTGATTTAGAGTTTCACGCCTTGATTACTTCCTCTTTGCTGTCTTGTGGACGCCTCTTGTCGACTAGTTGTTTTCTCCTTGACTCCGCTGATTTTTCATCGGAGAGGAGCTCGGGACTTAGACTTCAGAGCTCTGAGCTCATTGTCCAACCTCACTTCCCGAGCTCGTACTTAGAATTATTTGTTCGTGCATCATCAGGTATAATGCATGAAGTCTGCAAATTTAAAAAAATAATAACAATAAATTCTCAAATTAAATTACATTATCGATCAAATAATATAATAAATTAAGTCCACAAATTAAATTCTCAGACTAAATTGCACATCGTAACGGCCGTGCATTTGAATGAAGTTGATCTGCCATCAATGAAACCAAGTTTCTGTCCAAAACATTAATGTTCACTTTCTGACAAATCATCTTTGATCATATTTTGAAAACTCAGTCAAAAAGCTCTTCAACCCTAGTAAAGCTTCTCAACCTCTAACCCTACGTGTCTCCTTCATACTAAGCTATATCCATGCAGATAAGTGTAAAACCCTCATCAGTTCCTCCATCATGTTGAAAAGAACACTAAAACCTAATCTTTGCTTTAATGCTTTTCCATCAGTTTTCTTTCATAAATATCTCCCTTTAACTCAAAAGTTACACTTTTCCTAATTTCAAACACATCCCAATTCTTCATATATAAGTAAAATGCAGTGTTCTGTTCACTTCACAAACACCTCTTTTTTCTTCTCTCTCTCTCTCTCTCTCTTTGTGTTGCTTCTTTTTTCTCACCATGCTGCAGAGTGATAACTCTGCAGAGGGCTCAAGCCATGAACCAAACCCAAACGCTAATGTGAACAGAAGTGAAGTGTCGAAACTGACCCAACTGACCAAGTTCCGGGACTACACCTGCTCCTTCTGCTTCAAATCTTTCTCAACAGCACAGGCCTTAGGAGGTCACCAGAATGCTCACCGGAGTGAGAGAACGGAGGAGAGGAGACTCTATATCAAGGACCCCATAGATTATCGTAACCGTGCCTTTCTCCGGTCAGTTAAACCTCTGAAAGTTGTCCCACCACCAGGTGTTTGCTACTCTAAGCTCAGCCTGCAGATGGTTAAACCTGCGGCGGTGCTGCCTGAGCCAGAGGCTGAGACGCCCCCAGGGCTTCCACCCTCGACCCATCTCAGTCACAGACCAAATTCTCTGTATGGGCATGGGGAGAGTCCTTCCATGGTTGGACCAATGGCCGGAAATGAGGTTCCATACAGAGGTGTTCATGGTTATAATCGCCATGATCAGCCATATCTCCGGCAAGTTTATCAGAAACCAGTACCGTCCATTGATCTGAATCTGGTTCCAAAGAGAAAAGTGGAAGCTGTGGTAGGAGGAGGAGGAGGAGATGGTTGCATTGAGGTCTATTATGGAGAGTCAAAACCTGGGGTCTTCAATGGTGGCAAGGATGATCATGGTATCGACTATGAGGCATTGGACTTAACTCTGAAGCTGTAGAAGATTGCTCCTCCTTTCTTTGTTTCTCATGGAGTAGTTGATAGTGTGTGTCACAATGACTGAAAGAAAAAATAGAATTAAGTACAATTATATATAAAGCTAAAAGCCAATAGCTGCAAAATAATATATCGAAATAATGCTACACAAATAAAAACTGTGTGGAGAGTGGTTTGGTTTACTAATCTCTTCTTATTTTAGAATATAGGAGTATTAAGATTATGATATTTACATACAAATTCGAAAGAGATTGATGATATATGCGCATAGGGAGTTTAGGAAAGGAAGTCATTGGTTGTGGAAAACTAATATTTGACATCCATTTTACTCCGGCTAAGCTCGGTCCCAAAGAAGTATTAGTGGAAATTTTAGGTAAATAAAGACTTAGCAAGTAAGATTCTCCCGAAGATAAACATTTAGTCAAAAATATTGATTTTTGAATCTCTCATGTCTTAAGGAGTTGAATATAATGGCATAAAATCATAAACGACGAGTCTCGATAAACGTGTTTTAGAAGTTGGACATAACAATTGAGCCTCTCAACACACATGTTTTAAAGAGTTGGACGTGATAGATGACACAAAATCATAAATAAGATGTGCCAAAAAGCAAATCCGAACGCTTATATGAAGTAACATGATACAAATATAACTTTATAAATCACACACTGATTTTGTACACTGTTTGGGAGACACCTCTGCAAAGAAGTTGTGGAAATTCTGCAGCCTTGCATGAAAATTGGGTTTACATGTGATGATACTTCAAACGCTCTAACTGTGAGCTCAAGTCAAGAGGTCAGATCAGGAGGTTATGAAAGATACGGGGAACTTGGAGAACCAGGGGTAGAGCTCCCCTTGGGGAGATCGTGACAGGACCAACCAAGAAACTGCTGGATGACTGCAGAAATTGAGCTTAATGCATGAAACTCTCAACCAACCGAGATTCTCTCCTAAAATCAAGAGAGATCCCATGAATAATTGGCAAAGATCTCGGCTGAAATCCCATATAATAGGAAGCAGGCTTATAAATACTATGTAACGCCTCATCGAGAGGTGGACCGAAGAAAAACCCTAATTAGCTTTATGCATTGTACTGCAATACATACGAGT